AGTGGTTACCATGATTGATATCACAGTGATTACTATGGTTGATATCACAGTGGTTACCATGGTTGATATCATAGTGGTTACCGTGGATGATATCATAGTGGTTACCGTGGTTGATATCACAGTGGTTACCGTGGCTGATATCAAAGTGGTTACAATAGTTGATATCACAGTGGTTACCATGGCTGATATCACAGTGTTTACCATGGTTGATATCACAGTGGTTACCATGGTTGATATCACAGTGGTTACCATGATTGATATCACAGTGTTTGCCATGGTTGATATCATAGTGGTTACCATACTTTATATCACAGTGGTTACCATGCTTTATATCACAGCAGTTACCATGCTTGATATCATAGCAACAGAGCCAATGATTAAGATTACACATCTTGCCATAACAGCCAATTCCCATCATGCAGTTGTTTTCTTTATGCCGGAACAACAATCCCATGGCAGATGCATGTTTACTGGCAATCTTTGATAGTAAGTAGATGGTGCGAACGAATATCAACAAACCGGCCAGCCAACCAGCAACAGTTCTTTTCTATAAATCCTGGATATTTTGATGTATTGGCGATCCGCTCCGCTAGGATTGCCCTTATAATCACTTTTGTGGCTTTGTGTGTGTGATTCCAGTGTTTTCACGTATTATTTCTTCTGTGATCTTTTGGCATGGCTGATTTCGCTCAAATGTGGCAGGTAGGTCACACCTTCGCCCTAGTTATTAGGACAAAATCTAAAAAAAATTGAGTCACCGTTACCATAACAACAGCCAAAAAAGTGTTTTTTGGATAGCTTTGCGCCAAATGTATCTCCTCCTACAAATTTGGGAAAAAACACCCCAGACATAGCTCATTCTACTCAGCTTGAGTGCGGGCACAAAGTTACTATTTGAATTCTTGATATCTTTTTTCATTACCGAGAAAACTGTTCACCAGGGATAGATTTTTAACTCTTCTGTGATTTTTTTGGCTGAGCCGATTTAATTCAAACTTGGCAGTCAAGTCGCACCTTCATTCTAGTTAGGTTGTAAAATCTGAAAACAAATTCAACAGCCAAAAAACTATTTTTTTAATACATTCGCGCCAAATGTATCACACCCTACATGTCTATGATTAAAAAGCACGGACATAGCTT